CCCCCACCCCCTTCTCCTCATGGCAGGAGAAGGGAGCACCTTGGAGAGCCCGCTCCTTCCGGCCTCTGTCTGCCCCTGGGTCAGGCTGCTGTCCACACGGCCTGCTGTGTGTCGGGGTCTCTGTGTGGGAATGTCAGACCCAGGCGGGCTGTGTGCCGGGGTGGGTGTGGGAATGTCAGACCCAGGCAGGGCGAGGCTGTGACTAAGACGCAGCAGACCTTTGACCTCTGTGACTCAGGGCTGCCATCCTGTCCTGTGCCCCTTGGCTTCCGAAATCTGAAGCCGGAAGGCGATTCTGAAGCCCAAGGGGACAGAGCAAGCGCCGCCCTCTGCAGGCGCTAGGGTCGGCGGCGCTGCTCTGCCGTCGGCTCTGCAGCAGCCTGGAGTTTGGGTCATCACCGGGGCAGGGGGGGGGGCTGCATCCTCCAGACTCAGTTTCCCCACCTCTAAAATGGGGTCAGAGGTTTTGGAGCAATAACAAGGTTAAGGAACGGAAAGTGCGGGCACACAGTAGGTGGTCGGGAAAGCCTCAAGCATCCGCCCTAAAGGGCCAAGTGGCTTCATGTCTGGCAGGCGCTCCTCCCCTGCACCCCCAAAACTGACAGCATCCTGGTATCCTGGCCCTCGGAGGGACTAGGGCTGCTCCCCCTCCTTGTTGGCGTCCAGATGGCGACACTGAGGCACACCGGTGGTACCCGGATGTCCTGCAGTGATGGGACTGGGAGATGGCCCCAGAGGGGTTCCCGCCGGGCAGGGCGAGTCAGCAGCAACAGCCTCGACATAGTTGCTGGCTCATCCATCCCTGAGTATTAATTGGGCATCTACAGTATGCAGCACCGCACCGGGCACAAGATGTGTCAAGTGAGTCCCTGCCTTCTGTGTGGACACTTCTAGAAGAGCAAAGAAGAGTGGGTGGAAGAGGGAGCTGCTGGCCCAGTTGTGGGGACAGGCTCTCCCCGCCCCCCCCCCCCCCCAGCCCAAAGCTTGGTGATGAGACTCCAGGTGCTTCCTGGCCCTCAGCCCATCTGGGCAGCATCAACACTGGGGCCAGCTGGGGAAGCCCAAAGCTGAGGGGGTTCTCCTGGTCCCCCAACTCTGCTGGGACGTTTCCCTGCAAGCTAGCAGCCACAGAAAGCAGGCCCTGCTGACCCCGCGACTGCGCGACTGCTTGTGCGGAGTCTCAAAAGCAGAGCCAGGCCAGGAGGCCGGCTGACACTTTGATTTCCTCGCTCAGCTGCAGCCCAGTGTAGACGCCCAGCCCCGTGTGATGAGCAAACCCGGGGTAAGATTAGCTGCTGGGGCGGGCCCTCCTGAAGGGAGATGGGGTCCACATCCCAGTTCCCTGTCTCTCCTGGCCAGGGGTGAGACCCCTGGCCTACCTCCCCATTCAGGGACCCCATGAGGACAGGAAGGGGGCGTGGCCTGTCCTCAGCCCCATCTGCCCCTGGTCAGGGTATGACCTCTGCGAGGCTGACAGTCAGGATCCTACATTTTTGCTTTGTTTCCTTCATTTGAAACAACAACAAAAACACCCCATACTGGCCTGAAACTCTCAATCCTCCTGCCTCAGCCTCCTGAGTGCCGAGATTGCAGGTGTACACTACTACACCCAGTGTCCCTTACATTTAAACAGGCAAGGTGGCATCTCACTGGTCTTCTGTATGTTAAGGCAGAGTTTTTTCTTTTTTGTTTGTTGGTTGTGGGGCTTGAACTCAAGGCCTGGTTGCTGTCCCTGAGCTCTTTTGCTCAAGTTGAGTGCTCTACCACTTTGAGCCATAGCACCACTTCCACTTTTCTGGCAGATAATTGGAGATAACAGTCTCACAGACTTTCCTGCCCAGGCTGGCTTCAAACCTTAATCCTCAGATCTCAGCCTCTTCAGTAGCTAAGATTACAGGCGTGAGCCAACAGTGCCCAGCTTAAAGCAGATTTTAATATCATAGAAGAATGTGTCCTGGCTAGAACTCGTATAGGTAGACCTTATTGTCAGGACTGCTTGGTCTTTTCATGCCGGATACAGTGATATTCCTGAAGATTATGCAGGGTTGTAATTAATTCAACCAGTCCCATCCATGGATGCGTGCTGTGGCTGTTTTATTTCTTTGTGATCAAGAATGTAATGCCAGGAAACAAAAGCCCGGAGAGCTCCTGAGCCAGGATGGCTGGAGATTGATACTCTTTCCCTAGAGGACCAACAGGAGACCCCAAATTACAAATTACAGTGGTTGTAAAAGAGCAGTGGCCAGCGGGAGCGGGGAGGGCAAAGGAGGAGCAATTGATTCTGGGGCTTTGTACACATGAGTGGACGTGCTGAACTGACACGCCTCTCTACAACTAATCGATGCTAAGCAAAGGAACTACATATGCATATGCACATGAGCGCATATGTGTATTATATATATGTGTATATATACGCCTCTGTGCGTACACACGTGTGTATACATGTGCTCTGGAGTAGAAGGAGGTTTAAGCTGCACAGGTAGTACATGGCGACCACAGGACTTGAACCTGGACAGAGGGTGGTCAGTGTGAGCGACCTGCCGGTATTTCTTTGGCAGTCCCCGTCCCAAGAGAAGGAGGGAGGGTGACTCGTGGGAGTACCGTGTCCCCCCTCTCCCAGGACTGTGCACAGGTGTGGGCTCAGGGTGTAGGGAGAGGAGAAAAGGTCAGGGAAATGACCTTGAGTCACTTTCAAACCACACACTTCCTCCGAGACCAGCACAGTGAGCCAGCTCCCACGTGGGGGGAATCTGTATTGACAAGTCGGCTGGCTGCTTTCATGTCCTGCTGGGGACTTGTTAGCTGAGACTCCCTCCTCCTCCCCTCCCTTCCCTCCCGCCCTTCTCCTTCATCTCCCCTCCTTTCTATTTTACCTTGTTTCTTTTTTTTTTTTTTTGTTGGCCGTGGGGCTTGAACTCTGGGCTTGGGCACTATCCCTCAGCTCTTCAGCTCAAGGCGAATGCTCTACCGCTTGAGCTACAAGGCCACTCCTCCTTTCTATTTTAAAGTTAGGATCACAGACTCTTGAGGGGCCTCCTGTTTCAGTCTCTGAGCGCTGGGATTATCATACTCAGCTTGAAAAGAGCCTTTTTGGTTTTGTTGGTAATGGGGCTTGAACTCTGGGCTTGGGCACTGTTCCTCAGCTCTTCAGCTCAAGGTGAGCCTCTACCGCTTGAGCCACATCGCCACTTGCGGTTTTCTGGTGGTTCATTAGAGATAAGAGTCTCACGGACTTTCCTGCCCCAGCTGGCTTTGAACTATGATCCTTAGATCTCAGCCTCCTGAGTAGCTAGGATGACAGGCGTGAGCCTCCGGTGCTTCTTGAAAAGACCCATTTTTGGAAGGGAAGACAATCAAGTACTACATCTCCTCCCAGTACAGCAGACACTGACGGTCTCTGTAAATCCCCTCCAGCCTAGTCTTCAGATTGATGTTAATCATTGCAATCAGACAATGCTTAATAGAGTCTTGTTTAAAAATACTCACTTTTTTCAACACAAATGCCTGCTGGAATGTGCACCAAGAAACCATAAAGGAAGCCTGGCCTTTCTCCCTCTGCTCACAAGCTCCCTCCCTGGTCCCTTCAGGAATTGCACTCCATAGAACTTAAAAGCCCAGCTGTGGGCTGGGGGGGGGGGGGGGGGGGGGGGGGGACTCTTGTCTGACCTGTCACAGGACACGCAGACAAGCTGTGCTCCAGGAAGGGACGGGGCTCTGAGCTGGAATGCTGGGGCCCCTGCAGGTGAACATAGGGAAGGCTGCAGGAGTCCTGGGGTCCAGAGCCCCGTGTGACTTTGTTCTGACTCAGCATTTCCCAGCTGCTCATAAAACCATTTCCTAATCCTGCATAACCCGAGTTCCACCCCCACCCCGCCTCAAAACCCTGGTGGAAAGGGTTTGTTTCAGCTGCAAATGGCCCAGTGGCCCATGGTGGCTGTCAACAAGAAGAAATCTATAATTTGCAAATGCGGAGTTTTGTTTGGCCCAGGGTCTTGGCCCCAGCCTGAGCCTGAGCAGTGAGCAAGCACGCATGCTCTGGGCCCTGGGAAGTGGAGGCTGTGGGTGAAGACGCTCCTGGGGTCCAGGCTGAGGAGGCGGGGGGGGGGGGGGGTGGCCTCTGGCGTCCCCCGTGCCCCACAGATGTGTGAGCCTGGGCACTGCCCCACTGACTTAGGACAGAATATCTAAACCACCTATGCCCTGACAACGGGGCCTGGCGTGACCAGGACAGTCTGGGACCTGTCATGAGCTCCCAGGCCAGTCTTAGCCTGTTCAGGACCCTTGGAAATGGCTTTGGGTTGAACGAAGCCTGTAATCAAGTGTTGTGTGTAACAATACATTTTTTTTTTTTCCAAAAAGAAGAAATGGACATTGAGGTACAGAGGAAGAAGATAGTGATGATAGAATTCTGAGCAATTTTTGCTTTTCCTTATTTTTTTCTTCTGCTGATCAGCCGCCACCTCCTCCACCTCCACCACCACCCCCTCCTCCTCCTCCTCTTCCTCCTCCTGCTCCTCCTCCTGCTCCTCCTCCTCCTCCTCCTGCTCATTCTCTTTTTGGAGGTATTGGGTTTGAACTTGGGACCTTGTTGTTTGCTAGGCAAGCACTCTACCTGCTTGAGTCATGTCCCCCCCCCCCCCCGCCCCTTTGCTTCTAGTTTACTGTTCAGATAGGGTTTCACGCTTTTTCCCAGTCCAGCCTTAGACCATCATCTTCCTATTGCCATGTTCCAAGTAACTGGGGTTACAAGTGTGCACCACCACTCCTGGCTTGTTTTTGGGATGAGTGTGGCTAACTTGTCCACGCATCACACTATGATCCTCTCGATGTCTACCACCTGGAGTTTGCTGTCCAGTTTTCTACTGTCAGCATCTTTCCCTTTGGGTAAAGGGAATATTTGAATACATATACAGGTACCCATACACACACACACACACACACATCTTATTGAAATAATATAGTAAAGTTTGTAAGAGTCTTTTTTTTTGCTTGTTTTCCAGATGGGCAGCAAATTTGGGAGATGGAGGCTACGGTGGACAAAGACAAGAGCCAGCCTGTAAGCCCAGATGGAGACAGCTCAGTGTTCACAAGTGCCTGCCCTCCCTCCCTCCCTGCCTCCCTTCCTTCCTTTTCTTCCTTCCTTCCTTCCTCCTTTTCTTTCTTTCTTCCTTCTTTTCCCCCTTTCTCCCCTTCTCCTATTTCTCCCATTCTTCCCCACCTTCCTTCCCTTCCTTCCTTCCTTCCTTCCTCCTTCTCCCCCTTTCTCCCCCTCCTCCTACTTCTCCCTCCCCCCTTCCTGAGTGTCTCTCGTTGCTGCTCTCCCTGGAACATATGCCATGCAGCAGACCCGCTGCTTTGCAGCTGTGCCATCTTAACACCTTTTCTTTGCCAGAGAGATAGAGACTGAAACCTCCTTTAACCAAAACTCTGCCTCTATTATAAGGCTCTCCCTGCTGTCATGTGGGCTGGCTGAGTGTGCTTAGGGTCCAGGTAGGAATAGAGTCAAGCTCACGATAACTGCTTCCTTCTAGAACATGCTTTTTGTGGAGATCCCTGAGTACCGGAGCAAGCACATCCGCATCCCTGTAAAGGTCAACTTCCACGTCATCAACGGGAAAAGAAAACGGAGTCAGCCCCAGCACTTCACCTACCACCCAGGTGAGGCCTTCCCCCCGGGGTGTGCGGCTTCCCCCCGGGGTGTGAGGCTTCTCCCTGGGGTGTGCGGCTTCTCAGGCAGCGTGCACGGCTGTTCTGAGCCTGGGCTCCCTGTCTGCCTGTGGCGCCTGCGAAGAGTAATAGAAATCAGATGCATATACAGCCCTCCTCCCAGAGCACGGCAGCTGGTGTCAGGCTGGCTCTTACTGTCTTGTCTGTAGACAGAGAGGATGGTAAGCAGAGGGTTCAGGTCCTGCATTAGATTGCAGGGTCAAAGGTGAGCATGCCCTCAAACCTGCAGGATCCTAGGTTCGCCTAGGAAGTGGGCAGCGATTGCTGGCTGGCCAGTCCTGTGTCTGAGGACTCCTTGAGTGCCCCACTGCTGTTTGGGGACAGAGGACTCAGCCCTGATGGGGAGCTGCCATCCAGGGAGGTGATGGCAGGGACGGTGCTGGAGGAAGGAGAGCAAGCAGGGACCGGGACTGGAAGCCGGCTGTAGGATGTGAGCTCAGGCAGACTAACCAGCTGCCTTCCTAGTACTGGTAGTTGTTGTCAGAATTAACTATACAAGGAGCCTGCAGCCCAGGGCTGGGGAGTGACAGGGCCAGACAATGCTCTCAGCCTTTGGGACCCCTGAGGCCGGAGGTCCTCACCTGTTGCCCTGCCCTTTATCCTCCATGCGCATGCGCACCTTCTGTGAGCATGGGGCGGCCATGTGCGCTTCTCTCCTTGCGCATGCGCAGTTGCTGTGAGCGTGGGGCGGCCAGCGCGCTTCTCCTTGCGCATGCGCAGTTGCTGTGAGCGTGGGGCGGCCACGTGCTCTTCTCTCCTGGCGCATAGAGTGGTATCTTTGGTGAGATTGGTGCAGCTTGCATGCTCACCTCTCCTTGCACACACGCAACTTCTGTGAGTTTGGGGCAGCCACGTGCACTCGCCTCTTTGTCCACGTTCAGCTTCGACGAAGCCGGGGCAGCTGCGTGCGCTTCTCTCTTTGCGCATGCGCAGCTTCGATGACGCTGGGACAGCCGTGGGGGGTTTCTTGTCCTTGCGCATGTGCTGCCCATCTCCTTGCGCATGCGCAACTTTGGCGGGGTCATGCAGCCAGGGGCTCTTCTCTCCCCGCAGTCCCGGCCATCAAGACGGAGCCCACGGACGAGTACGACCCCTCCCTGATCTGCAGCCCGGCCCACGGAGGCCTGGGGAGCCAGCCCTATTACCCACAGCACCCGATGCTGGCCGAGTCCCCGTCCTGCCTGGTGGCCACCATGGCTCCCTGCCAGCAGTTCCGCTCGGGGCTGTCGTCCCCCGATGCCCGCTACCAGCAGCAGAGCCCCGCGGCCGTGCTCTACCAGAGGAGCAAGAGCCTGAGCCCCAGCCTGCTGGGCTGCCAGCAGCCGGCCCTGATGGCGTCGCCCCTGGCCCTGGCCGACGCCCACCGCTCGGTGCTGGTGCACGCGGGCGCCCAGGGCCAGGGCTCGGCCCTGCCGCCCCCGGGCCCCGCCGGCCCGCAGGCCTCGCCCGTCATCCACTATTCGCCCACCAGCCAGCCGCTGCGCTGCGGGGCCCACCAGGAGTTCCAGCACATCATGTACTGCGAGAACTTCGCCCCGGGCCCCGCCAGGCCCGGCCCGCCCCCCGGCGGCCAGGGCCAGCGGCTGAGCCCCGGCTCCTACCCCACGGTCATCCAGCAGCAGAGTGCCCCCAGCCAAAGGGCCCCCAAAAACGGACCCCCGGCCAGTGACCAAAAGGAAGTATTGCCCACCGGAGTGACGATCAAACAGGAGCAGAACTTGGACCAAACCTACTTGGATGACGGTAAGACTTCCCTGCCTTCCCCCCAAGTCCACCTCTTTCAGCCTCGTTGCCCCTGTTTTCATTTGAGGGCCTCAGGTAGGGTGACCTGTCATCTGTGCGCAGAGCATCGTCTCCCCGCAGGAGTTGGGGAGGGGAGGTCACAGTTTTAGGTGTCTCCTCTCTACTCAAGCCAGGGCAGTTATGGCCACAGGGTGTCCCCAGGGTCACGAACCGAGTCTGTTTAATTGCTTCCACTCTCTTTCCAATGGCCAAATTTAGATTGAGGACAGGAAAGCAGAAAGGAAGGAAAGCCAATCTCTTTTGTGGCTGTAGAGAAAATTATTTCCCACTGTGTAGCTCTCTTTTGTGCAGGGGTAGGGGGAGAAGGGGGGAAGGAGAGCGGCTGTTGAAAAGCCACTCTATGAGAGCAGCATGAATGGGGGCTGGGGCACGCTGTGGGCTGCCTGTGCCATGGGCTGCCAAAACACAGGGTACATTGATAGGAGGCAGCCTCGGTTTCCGCCGTGGTGAGCCAGCTGATGGGGTGGCCAGGCCAAGGAGAAGATGCAAGAAGGCTTTGTGTGCATCAGGAGGTGCCCCAGCTTGTTGGCAGAGGCCCTTACTAGAGACACATCTTGTCAGAGCAGCCGAGATCTGGCATGGGTTCATATCTTGGGGAGGGGCCGGTGACATGGTCCAGCTCACCTGAGCCCTTGCAGCAAGGTGACAGTGACATCCCTTTAGAAAGTAAAAAATAAGTAGAAATTCTCAAAACCAAAACAGAACTAGGAAGGAATCCCTGAATGGTGGGCTCCCACTCTGTCTTGGGCAATACGTATTATCTGACTCACAGGTGAGCATCCCTTGTTAAAAAATGCCTGGGACCAGGGTGCTTTTAGAGTTTGGCATTTTTACATAAGACTTTTCCAGTTGAGTATGCTTCATCCCCAAATATGAAATCCAAAGTCTGAAACTTAAAAATAATTTTTTTTGGCATCCCGGGGGTTTGAACTCAGGGCTTCATGCATGCTAGGCAGGGGCTCTACCACTGAGCCACACTTCCGTTCCTCTTTTGCTGGTTATTATCTTTGAGATGGGGTCTCACTTCCTGTCTGGGTTTATACCTGTACCACTAGCCGCCTATTTTACACTTCCCACTTTAGCTGAAGGTTCAGGCAGTCACCACTCCCAGCTTCTTTGAGAGGGGGTCTCTGAGAGTCTTTTTGAGATTGGGTCTCTCAAACTTTGCTAAAGCTGACCTCAAACCACTATCCTCTAGGGGTCAGCCTACTATAGAGCTAGGATGACAGGCATGTGCCACGATGTCCAGTTGTTTGAGAAGGGGTCTCTTGTGAATTCTTCTGCCCAAGCTGGCCTTGAACCATGGACATCTTCCCAATCTTGGCTTCCCCACTCCCTGGGGTTACAGGCCCAAGGCACCCCTACCTGACCAACATCCTGAAACCTTTGGAACCTCTGAAAGGTTTAGGATTTGGGAACCTTTTTAAGTTTCTGCTTAGGGATGCTTCCTCTCTACCCTGTGAAGTCCATTCTTCAGGGGAATGTACTATCAGGAACCCAGCCAAGGGTCTTCACAAAAGTTAGGTGCTTCTTAAGACTTGCAGGTGCTACATAGTACACATTTCAGTGTCAGGAAACATCCCCTGTGCTGTTGGCTTGTATTTTATATGAAGTCTTGATACAGATTTTCTTGAGATGCTATGACTTCTAGTACTTTCTATGCCCATTTCTCTGTAAACTTCAACCAAGAATATCCACTGATGCAGCAAAGACCTCGGGCCCATGTGCAGCCGGTGCCTGCTTCTGCGTGCTGTGCGGGCAGCCAAAGCTGACAGTGTTTCTGCATGAGTCGTTGGCGGGTGGGGCCTAAGTTCTCCAGTTCCGGCGGAGTTGGGCCTGCGTGCCCTTCGTCCTGGCATGATTGACGGACGCCCAGAACAGCCACGTCTTGTTGCTTCTTTTCCAAGGGTTTCTCAGCTTTGAGCAGTTACCTAGTGCCCATACTGGGTGGCCATGGGTCCCAGGGCAGGGGTGTACCCGGACTCCCTGTGTGAACTAGGGTCGGTATTTATGAATGAGTGAGGACCGAGCCAGGCAGGAGATGGTGTTGGCTTGGGGTCCAGAGTGACAAATATGAGCCCTTCCACCCGCACCCCAGCGCTCATTCTACATGGAGGAGCCAGGTAGACCCACGGAGGTCACCAGTGCGTGCCACAGCCCAGTCTGTAGCCAGGTTCGCTGGTGCTAGACGGGAAGCAGCCCCCTTGGGGTTTCCTGAGGTGTCTTTTGGCTGCGTGGCTCCTGTCCTTTTCTCTGAGCTGTGCAAAGGCGCCCGTGCTGGGGGCATGCACTGCGGGCCTTTCTGCCTGCTCCCATGCCCCGTCTCCCTTCCGTGATGTCTCCCCTCCCGCTTGTGTAGGCCCCCTCCCCCTTCTGTGATGTCTCCCCTCCCCCTTCTATGACGTCCCTGTCCTATAGCCCCAGGCGCGGGCCAGGCTGCACCACATCTCCAAGCAATAGCGGATCTTGTGCAAAATCTCCTCCCTCCTTCCCTCCTCTGTCCACCACCCCTCAGCTCCCCCCAGCCCCATTAGTGTGCGCTGGCTGCCTGTGGCACGTGTGGCCTGGGACTCGGGGAGTGCCTGGTGAGCAGGGCAGGCGAGGCCCTTGCTCTTGTAGGGTGATGCTTTTTGTAAGAGGTCGATGTTCAGGGGTGCTCTCATGGCTGGGCGGGGGGTTCCCTGTGCAGACCCAGAGGATGGAAAGAGCCAGGCTCCAGAGGCTGAGGGGACCGTGTGTGGGGGGAGGGAAGGGGAGGTGGTGGAGTCATACGTTCTGTAGTGGGGTGCCGCTGGATTGTCCGTGTGAGGACGGCTCCGGTGTCTGACCGATGCAGGACAGTAGGGAGGCCTGTTAGAAGGAGACCCAAGTTAATCTGGCATCTTTTTTTTTTTTTTTGTCGGTTGTGGGGCTTGAACTCTGGGCCTGGGCGCTATCTCTGTGCTCTTCATCTCAAGGCTAGCGCTCTACCGCTTGAACCGTTTTCTAGTGGTTTATTGGAGATAAGAGTCTCACGGACTTTCCTGCCCGGGCTGGCTTTGAACTGTGATCCTCAGATCTCAGCCTCCTGAGTAGCTAGGATTATAGATGTAAGCCACTGGAGTCCGGCTTAATCTGGCGTCTTTAGAGCAGCAGAGGTTCGCATCCTTATATGTGGGGTTTCTTTTTTTGGGCGGGGTGTGGGGGGAGATTTTAACCTCAGTCCAGAATCAAATGGAAATGTCTAGAAACAGTTCATGGATTTTCCCCAATGTTATTACAGTGTATTGTTACAATGGGTCTATTTTATCACTAGTTAGTGCTAATTTCCTCCCAGGCCTAATTTCTAAGTTGGGCTTTATGGGAGCCTCTGTTTTCTCACCCACGAAAAGTTAGCGCTCACGCACTGTGAACAGGCACAAAGAAGCTAGAGTTGCCAGCGGTGGGCGTGTGGTCGGCCACAATGCATAATCATCATGAGAACCCTCCAGGACTACCTTTGTTTTTACCGCTTGTGCACTTTGACCTTGTTTGGTTTGACCAGAATAGTCCACAGGGAAAGCAGATGGGGAAAAGCCAGGAGCGAGGACAGCTGTGTGTCCCCCCCCCCCCCCAGCTGCTTCTGGGGGAGGGGCCCTGTGTGAGGATCACCTCCAGCAGAGGCGGGCCCCACGGCCCGCACGTGCCAGGCAGCTTTCTCCCTGCCCTTGGCAGAACCGCTTGGCACCTGGGGAAGAGTGGGCTGCCTACCTGGTGGGTGCAGCCCGGGGCGGGGCTGCCTGGCAGCTGGGCCAGGCATATAAAGGCTCTGCGGCAGTGACGGCCCTGTTCTCTTGTTCCTTTCTCCTTCCTTACTCTCACTATTTACTCTGCACAAACCAAGCCAGCTTTTGAACTGTGTTTTGTTTGGTTGTTTAGTTGGATGTTTTGGCAGTACTGGGGTTTGAACTCAGGGCCTTGCCCTTGCTAGGTAGGTATTCTACAGTTTGAGCCACGCCTCCAGCCTCATTGGCTGTCATTACTTTTGGGGGTCAGGTCTTATGCTCACTTTTGCCCGTCAGGCCTCAGATCTCAATCCTTCTACCTCCATCCTTTCCAATAGCTGGAATTGCAGGTCAGCACAACGGCACCTAACTTTGCACTTGGGCTGGCCTTGAACTATAGTCCTTATGACCTCTGTCTCCACAGTGGCTGGGATTATAGGCACATGCCACTGTGCCCATCCACTCAGATGCTAGTTGTGAGTGCCAGCCAACTGTGTGACCGTGGGCAGGTGGTGGCCTCCTTGTGCCTCCATTTCCCCATCTGGGGAAATGTCCTCGGCTCTGCTGAGAATACAGCTCCTTCAAGCCAGCCGTCCCCGCAGGAAGAGCTCAGCACGGGGCAGGCTTCAGTGAATGAGCTGTCACCTGCCCGGAGTCCTTAGAGGACACATTTGGAGATGCTGGTTGTGGAGGAGGAAAGAAAGCTCGGGCCGGCGTGGTCGTGGGGTGAGCTCCACCTGCAAGGCCCGTCTCTGCCTTGTGGACAGATAGGTGGGCAGGGCACAGGGTGTGCCTAGGGCTCTGGCCTCCTGGGGACATTTGTCTGCAGAGAGAGGTGGGGGGAGGATGCCCACTGCCCTGGAGCCCCTGCAGTGGGGGCCCTGGGGGGGGGCAGGGAGAGGGGGCCAGGGCTGGGGCCTGACAGACAGTAGAGCCTGTGGGAAGGGGGCTGAGGGTGTTAACTGAGGAAGCTCTGTCCCCAGGGGCTGGGTGTGCCGGCACGCGTGCGAGTGGACAGGCGTGGACACAGGCACCCTGCAGGGGAGGAAGCAGAAGGAAGGGCGGGTGGAGGCGTGGCCTGTGCTAGCCGCGCTTCCTTTCGAGGCTCAGCGATCTTCCCCTGCGCCGCGCGGTGCCCACGGCAAGCCTCTGGCAAAGCGGGTGCTGTGTGGTGAGCGCGCACCGCCAGCGCCTGCC